GGCAAAAATTAAAATTTATTCAATAAAAATTGGTAATAGTGAAATAGAATTTTGTCGAGAAGCAACTAATTTGGGGTTTATTTTCGATTCCAATTTGACATTCAATAATCATATAAACTGTTGTCAAAACCATGTTCTTTTCAGCTTCGTCAGTTATATTGCATTCAAAAGTCTTTGCATCAACCTACGATACAGACATTAATATACGCATTCATACATTCAAGGTTAGATTATAGTAACAGTTTGCTTCATGGATTTCCAGATCGGTCTATTGATGTTCTCCAGTCGATTCAAAACAGAGCTGCAAAAATTGTTGTCGGTGCTGGAAAATTCGACCATGTGACGCCCATCTTGAAGGGTCCGCATTGGCATACAGTGAAAAAATCCTCTATATAATTCACGTAATAATGTACAAGGCTGTAAATGGGCTCTAGCCAGAATATTTGGCAAATAAAATCAAAAAGTAACCAGCTTTTTCAACTGGTCTAAAGTTGGATCCGATTCAAGCAACCTGCTTCTGGTGCCACCTACTGATCTGCGGATTGTTTCAAGAGATATCGCTGTGTCAAGACCAGTTGTTTGGAATGGTCTGCCAAATTCGCTTAGAATGTCTGGGTTGAAAAATGTTAACTTTAAAAAAATTTAAAAACATAATTATTTTTGTTATAGATAATACCTATTAATTTGAAATAATTAAACCATTCATTTATTCTATTATTTTACTGTTAAGAATAGTGCTTTTGAGAAACTTATTGTTTTCAGGCGCTTTATAGATTTTTGATAATAATAATAATAACCCCTGGAACCCAATAGGTTCGCGACTCACAAGTTGAGATGCGCAAATTAAAACTTTCACAGTTGTTCACTACGCCACCGAACAAATTTTGTTTATTAAATAAAAAATTGTTTTAATTAAAATTAATAGCAACGTATCCTAATGGTCACATTAATTTTTTTCAAGTTTACGTTTTATGCAGATATTGAAAATTTGAAGAAAGAAAAATTAAGTTCCAAGGCCATAGAACTTATTAAAAAGGTAAATATTTGACATTCGAAACTCCTTATAATAAGACTTTAAAACTAATAAGTCTGATATTATCTGTGGACATTAATTAAAGTGTACTTAAAAAGCTTCGTTTATGATAATAATACTAACAATAATAAGTTCTACCACTACTGGTACAACTGCTGTTATTACTTTACCACCACTACGACTACCACCACCGCCATTTCTACTATTACCACTACTAATACTATACATACTAATACATTATGTAATGCGAAACATGAGAGCCGATAGATTTTACTAGCTCACTGTTTTATAAACAATGATCGAGTCTTTAAAGTAAAAAAGTAGGTCTTAATGTTGCAGAAAATTATGGCGATCATTACAGTATTATTTTACAGTAATTTTAAATAGTTACTTAAAATGCATCTCAGAACACAAACAAGCATGTTACATCAAAAAAATGTGGCTTAAGTTCAGTACTGGCTAGATGTCTAAACTGCCCCCACAAAATGTTTTCGTTGATCGTAGAAAACATCAAAGCATGTGCGAGACCACATCCAGTCAACAGCTTGAGTCCAGTGTTCAACGCCATTGCTTACTATAATTACATTTCCTCCGTTTTAAGCAACAACAACCACAACAGGCATCATCTTCCAAAATTGATTTCAAAACTATCAACGCCAACAACACCCTGCAACACATCTCCACCCAGCTACAACGAAATCTCATCACTAATAAGAAAATACCAGGCGAAATCATCGCCCTGTCCACTAGACCAGATTTCGATTAATCTTTTTAAAAGGTGCCCCATACTCAGAACTATTCTTCAACAGTTGCTAAGTAAATGTTGTTATCTTCCTCTATTCCTGCATGTTAAAAAAATGGTTTTAAAATACTCATTCATAAAATAAATGATGCCAACAACCCATCAAACTTTTGCCCAATAACGCTACAACCGACACTTTATAAACCATTTTCAAATTTAATCAATAACAGGATACATAGTTTTCTGGAAACTAATAACTTAATAAAAAATATTTAAAAAGGATTTTACCCTAACTAGAAAGTACACTGTAACTGTATTATCAATCATTTTAGAAAAAGTCGAGTCAAGCGAAACCACTGATGTGACTACCACGCAGTGTCAACACGCAGTGTCAACGCTCTTGACACTGACATCCCTCTCTTTTGGAATGATACTGTGGAAATTGACAGAACGACTAAATGTATAGGAGGATGATTGTACCTTTGATGTTTTCCTCCAATGTATATATTTAGATGAACATTTCTATGTCTGTTTTGTTATTATCTATATCATATATGTGACGCTTGTTTTGTACAGGCCCGGTTCTTCCATTAGGCAAACTAGGCAGCTGCCTAGGGCCGCCGATTTTAGGGGCCGCCAATTTTGCAAAATAACTTAAATAAGCATCAAAAAATATTTATGGAAATTTAAAAAAAAATGAAACAACGTCGTTTTATAAATATTTTTCAAGACGTGTTTCCAAATGTTACGACTGCTTTGCGAATTTTATAAACAGTACCTATAACGGTGGCATCAGCCGAACGCAGTTTTTCCAAATTAAAACTAATCAAGACATACTTACGTTCAACATTGACACAAAATAGACTTGTTGGATTAGCACAAATTTCTATCGAAAATGATATTGCTTCTGAACTCGACTATTCAGCATTAATTGACGATTTTGCAAACATGAAAGCCAGAAAAGTCAAATTCAAATAAAGCAAAAATGAATATTGTAATTTATTCAGATGATCATTCGGTGCACTGAAACTGAATAATTATATTTTACTAGCTAGTAGCTACTATAATTACTTTTTACTTTTATGTTGGGCAGTTCTCAGAAAATGGCATTAATAATAAAATTTGACATACAATTTTTAATTCAATTCAAAGTTCTAAAATCTAAAGTATTTAATAATTTGAATTCTATTTTTAAAATATGGAAAAATATTTTTTATAAAAATTGTAAGAACCTATCCAATAAACTAGGTAAAATATGGGTGGATAAAATATAGGTTCAAAAATAATATTATATATTATGTAATATCAATACGTATATAAAAAAAACTAGAAAAAAAACAAAAACAAAAAAACAAAAATAAGTTTTTCCTCCAAGTCACTGACATTGATATATGATATATCATATATCGGTAGAGTAGCCAACACCATAGATGTAGCTCTGCCTAGGGCCGCCAAATGTCTGGAACCGGGCCTGGTTTTGTACATAGGAAGTGTAGGAGAAGTATAGAAGAAGTTTAGTTGGCGGGATAGCTTAATTTTCAAGAAGTATAAAAAGAAGTGTAGAAAGAAGTATAGATGCGATGACAAATTTTACAAAAACGATAACGAAAGATCAAGAAAACGGAAAAAGTTCTGTGAAGAAAACCGGGAAAAAGACTAAATACGTCAAACCGGCCAAGACAATTTTTAAATAAATTCATTTAATGTTATCTGTGATAAAATTAGTTGCGAAATTGATATTGTCTAAAATACATAGAAATCAATAAACTTTTTGAGTATTTTTAAAGGATTTTGAGGATGTGGAAAATATTACAAAATAGACGAAACAAAAAATTTGTGCTTCGATATCGATGTGACAAAGTTAAATGGTGAACTGAAAGTTTATTTTATTGACAAAAAATGAGAATGTGCAGAACCCCAGCATCCATAAAAAATAATAATGTTAAATCTTTTTTTCAAAACATTGAAACATTTTTAAGAATTTATTTAGTCATGCCTGTAAGAAACGCTACAGAAGAAAGATCTTTTTCTGCTTTGAAGCGCGTTATGAATTATTGGAAAAATTTTATAGGACAAGAAAGGTTGTCGTCTTTAGCAATACTTACAATGTGTAAAAAAATATTTGGAAAAATTCTACAGGGCAAAAAAGGTTTTCGTTTTTAGCAGTGCTTACGATAGAGAAAAAAACTATGGAATAATTAGATTGCGACAGGACCGTTGTGAGCGATGTTTGTGTTAAAAGTTGGTAAAAGTCGTTATTTTAACGGAATATTTCCCTCCTGGTTACCAATTTTTTTTGAGACACCTCCGCCATCAACAATTTTTTAATTCTCCACGCTTGTCAAATTTTTTGGAATATCTTCCTCTCCGGTCGTCAAACATTTTTCAAAATTTTGCCCCTCCCCGTCAAAATTGTGTAGATCCGCCAATCGATTGCTATGATATTGTTGATAATTTTTGTGATAACAAATTAGAAAATATATATATATATATATATATGTATATAATAAAACAGAACAAATACTTATCATGTGTGTATATATTGAATAATAAATTATAAAAACTACAGTTGAAATTTAATATTGATATTTTATTTCATTGTAACTTTTTTATGAGGGCCCAGATTCGATATTTTGTCTAGGGCCCGGTGAAGGCTTAATCCGGCTCTGTATGTAGTATGAAAATCAACAACTTATATAAAGCTGTGAGTTAGTAGAAAAACTCTCTTGGTTTTCCCTCTTGATTTCAAAACATCTAAAAATTTTAATTAAGACGTTTGAAATTTCGTCCTTGGGATTTTTCAATCATTATAAATAGTCCTCTGTCAATTTTATTTGGTCTGACCATTTTTGCAGTAGTTTTATTATATCAAGCATGCTTTTTTTATATGCTGTCTATTGTGACAGAAACTCCATTAATAATTATAGTTAATCAATTTTAACTCAATTTTCATATTGATTTTAATTTTTCTTAGTACCAATTAGTGACATGTAGCGAGCAATGCGGACTAGGTATTTAACATTTTAATTAGATTTAACTCCATTTTATTTTATTTCACTTCATTGTATTTTGTTTTTCTGAAAAATAAAGAGAGTTCACTTTATTATTATTATTTTATTATATTATTATTATTTGATATTATTACGCTTATAACTGTGGTTGCGTAAGGAAGGGCGTCCTGAGTTAAAATTAGCCAAAAAAATACTTATGATGACAGAAGTGACAATGGCCCTCAGTATCCGGCAGAAGAGGGTGCGAAGAATCCCCGGAGACCCAATCTATGAGGTTGCGGTGCAAGGCCCTGTAGATGGTCTGGCTACTGGCACCCCACTCTATAGTGTGGCGGTGCAAGGCACTATGGGTGGAAGGATTACTTGTAGACCAAGGGGTTGGAGGTTTGGTACCTGGAATGTAGGCACGTTGACAGGAAAGAGTTTGGAAGTGGTGGAGGAGTTACAGAGGAGATGTGGTGGTGATGGTGTTTGGAAAGGTAATAGTGAGGTTAATATCAGGATATGCTCCGCAACAAAGTAGGAAGGAAGATGAGAAGGATAGGTTTTATGATGATGTTTCTGACGAGATTGGACAAGCGAGGTTGGATGAGTTTGTGGTGTCGTTGGTTGATTTGAATGGTCATGTGGGGGCGGATGCAGACGGATTTGAAGGTGTGCATGGGGGATGGAAATATGGTATACGGAATGAGGAAGGGCGTAGAGTGTTGGAGTTGGCGGATGCACATAGCATGGTGGTAGGGAATACCTGGTTTACAAGGGAACCAGCACGATTAATTACATATAGGTCAGGGGAGCATAGGTCAATGATAGATTATATATTGATAAGGGCGAAGCATAAAAAGTATGTAAAGAATGGGAAGGCGATATCTGGTATGTCGCAGCATAGTATGGTTGAGAGGCTTCAAAAAAATGGGGAGGAGGAAGAAGGATAAGTTTGTGGCAAAGAGAAAGACATGGAAGTTACAGGATCGCAGAGGTGATGAAGGCATTTTAAGTGAATAATAATAATAATAATATAAACATTTATGAAGCGCCCATTCGCACAGCTGCTTCAGAGGCGCCCGGAGCCAGTGATAAAAAGATGAGTCTTTAATCCCTTTTTGAAAAGACTCAACGAGGAACATTGTCTTAACTCAGGACAATGTGGCTAAAGGTGTAAAGGTGGCTGAAAGTTGGGAGAGTGGTAAGAATGGAGATATGGACTGTATGTTGACAACGGCAGATAAAGTATGTGGATGGACGAAATGAAAGTGTAGGCATGGTAAGACGTGGTGGTGGGATGAAAATATAAGAAAGGTTTTGGAGGTGAAGAAAGAGAGGTTTAGGGTGTGGAGAAGGGACATGACGGGTGAAGCGGAGTTTGAGTATAGGAAGGCTAAGAAAGTTGCTAAACGGGCAGTGGCAACTGCAATGACGAAAGCATCAGATAGGTTAATGAGAGAAATGGAATTTGATGTGAGCTCGAGGAAAATGTTCAAAGTAGCAAAGCGGTCAATGAGGGATAGGAAAGATGTTATAGGGAATGGATATGTTTGGGTCTAACAAGTTGTGCATAGATTAGAAAGAAAAAGCTCAGGTGTGGAAAGTTCATATGGAAAGGTTGATGAATGAAGAGAATGAGTGGGATGGAGATGTGGAATCCGCGGTCACACACGGACCCATAAAGAATGTGACGATGGAGGAAGTAGAAAAAGCAGTTAGAGAAATTAAACTATGTAAGGCGACAGGGGTTTCGGAAGTGGGGGCGGAACATATAAAGGCGAGTGGGGTGATAGGAATTGAAATTATGATGAAATTTGCTAACAGTATGTTTGATGATGAAGGTATACCTGAAGATTGGCGACACAGTGTGTTGGTGCCGTTGTATAAGGGCAAAGGAGATGTGAAAGATTGTGGGTCATATAGGGGTGTGAAATTGCTAGAGCATGGAATGAAGGTAGTGGAGAAGGTTCTTGAGAGGAGGTTGAAAAATATGGTGACAGTTAATGAAATGCAGTGTGGGTTTATGCCTGGTAGGAGAATGGTGAATGCGTTGTTCATAGTGAGAATGTTGCAGGAAAATTATAGAAAAAAGAAATGAAGATTATACATGTATTTTGTGGATATAGGCTTTTAATCGAGTTCCGAGGAAGGTCATTGAATGGTGTTGAGGAAGAAAGGAGTGAACTTGTTAAAGCTTTGATGCAGCTGTATAAAGAAGCAAAAACAAAGGTGAGGATCGGAAAGGGGATGTCGGACGCTTTTAGTGTTAAGGTAGGAGTGCATCAGGGTTATCACCGTTTTTTTCAATTGTGATGGATGTAGTGTGTGAAAACATAATGGAGGGGTTGTTATTTGAGATTTTGTATGCAGATGATTTAGTCTTGATGGCTGATAGCATGGAAGAATTGCAGTTAAAATTTGACAGATGGAAAAGTGTTATCGTAAAGAAAGGGTTAAAAGTTAATATTGGTAAGACGAAGGTAATGGTGAGTGGGGAAGGTGGGGAGCGAGTGATAAGTAAAATAGACAGGATGTGGGGTATGTGACAGGAGAGTGAAGGCTTACTCGGTATTGTGTATAGGATGTCAGAAATGGGTGCATAAAAGATGTAGTGGTGTGAGGGGGCATTGAAAAAGGTGGATGGCAGGTTCATACGTAAGAAATGTGTTCATGGTGTGATTAATAGGACGGACGCAAGGACGGGGTTGAGTGGTGGTATTGAAAGAGTGGAAAGCTTTGTTTACTTAGAGGTTAAGCTAAACGCGGATGGAGGATGTTTGAGCACTGTTACGGCAAGAGTTCGTGTGGGATGGATGAAATTTAGAGAACTGGGTGGGGTATTGTGTGGAAAGAAATGGTCAGTTAAGATGAAACCGGGGGTATGTAAAGCATGTGCGAGAGCAGCGATAGTATATGGTGGTGAAACTTGGGTGTTGAGGAGAGAGGAGGAAAGTATACTGCAGACGGCTGAAAGAGCTATGGTGAGGATGACGTGTGGGGTTAAAGTGAAGGATAGGAGGAGTAGTACAGAGCTGATTTCGATGATGGGACTGAATGAGGACATTGTGACATTGATAAGGAGATCGAGATTGTGGTGGTATGGACATGTGTTGAGAAGGGATGAAAAGGTCGGGATTAGGTGAGCGTTAGAGTTCAAGGTTGAAAGAGTGATAGGAAGGGATCGTCAGCGATTGGGATGGAGAGAGCAGATGGAGAAGGACAGAGTGAAAACGGGATTGTGTGATACTGAGGCGAGTGACAGATGTGAATGGTGTCGAGGGGTATTTCGGTTTCATCATAGGTAGCCAAACGGCAACCCCCGATCTCTGGGAAAATGTCGTCTAAACGTGTGTTGTTATTATTATGATTAGACGAATACAAAACACGAGAGCTGACCGATTCCGTACGACTTACTGGTTTATACATGATTCTAGATTAGTAACGTTTTAATTAGTTTTAAAATTGTTTTATTGGGTTGGAAAAATTGAGTGGAATATGGCGGTAATTTTAAAATTTGGTTTTAATAACATTTACTATTTAATTTTAATAATTTTAATAAACTAGGTTTTCAAAGTTCATTCAACTAAATGCCCATATTGCAACCAGGATTTTATTCAAGTTAATAGAAACTCCTGGTTTCTATAAAAAATACTAATTCAAACAATAACTTTAAACGTTCAACTGAAAATCTAACGTAACAATTTCTCCTAATATTTATAATGCGAATTCTGTAGACAATGATTTAATTAACTCTGAAAATAATATAATATTATGTTGCTATGGAAAATGTTGTAAAAGTAGAAAAGGACTAATTGTGCACCTAATGCTCATGCTAAATGCATAATAAACAATTCTAACCAGCAAATAACTCCACAAGCGACGTTGATGCCACCGCATCATCTCCGGAGCAGCAATCATCTCATCTATCAACTCATCCGACATCGTCGTCTTCATCACCTCCATCAGCAGAAACAATAGAATCACCTCTACTGAGCATCAAATAACCCAAAACTTCGGCACAATGGTCATAAGCCAAAAACAACAACAATCACTAACAAGCTACGACAATATTGATAATTTGCGTACTCTTTTCAATAAATTATATATAACCATTTTGCCTTAAATTATGGCACCATCAAGCCTCAAACAATCAACAACGCTAGCTCAAACAAATTTATCTAAAAATTATATTAAAACAGTTAAAACTATTGGGCCAAAACAACCAGTGTGATAATCTAATTAGTGCAAAGAACTGCGAGTCAAGTTTTTGTCAATAGAAAATAAAAATTTGGTAACACAGCCAACATCACGTCTCATCTCAAGCAGCGATTTTGGTGGTCCTGCAAAAAATATTCGCTCAAACGGAAAATTTGAGACCACTGTTCCACGTCACTGAGTCTACACATTTCTTTATGTTAAATTTCTTGTAACGTAATTGATTAATTGATATTAATATAATATTAAAAGACATTAAAAAAAACTTAGAAACGTTTTTGACTCGTTTATTATCAACCGGAACAACTAAAAGCGAATTTACATACAAAGCAAAGAACATTTGGCCAGAAAAAATAGATGTATATCATAATGTTTTAAAATTAAACATAAAACTTAACACCTTCTCATTTTATTTAAAAACATTAGATGATCTTAACATAAATGTTCTGAAGACCCATCACACACATCAGATTTTTAAGTCTTGGCCCTACCATTGGTTTTGTCAGAGCATCAGCAACTTGAAGTTCTGTCGCAATATCTGGTCTTGTTCCCGTCGTCAAGTACATCAATGCACCAACTGCTGATCTGTAAGAAAATTTCACTTCTTCGTGTTCATTTTTGTCTTCATCGAACTTCTCAGATTTTGTATTCTGAGTTGTACAGGGTTTACACTGGCTCATTCCAAACTTTTCAAGAATCATTCTTGTATACGATGACCGATTGACTTTAATATTTTCCTTCTCATTTTGATTAGTTTCTTATCTAAGAAAATATGTTGCAGGTTATATGTTATTTTGAATTCTGACTTTAATTCTTTTTCAAAAATTTTTAGTTCTTTTTCGGTTCCTGCATCTAGTCCATCATCAACGTACGGTCCAATCTTTCCTGTATTCTAGTGAACAAACAAGTATCTGCATCGCTTTGTTTGAAATGTCTCTTTTTCAAGAATTTAGCAAAGCGTTTGTTCCAACATCTTGGAGCTTGTTTAAATCCATAGAGACTTCGCTTGAGTTTACAGACTTTTCCTGAATTATCTTTAAAACTTTCAGGTTGGTCCATGTAGATATCTTCATCTAGTTTTCTGTATAAAAATGCTGTATAAAAAATAAAATCTTTTTATTTGCTGCAACACTTAATAGTGTTCTTATAGTTAAACTTCTGACCACAGGACTATAGGTTTCTTCATAGTCAATTTCCTTTTTCTGCGAAAAACCTTTTACCACTAGCCCCAATAAGGGTGTGATATTGGTTTAAGAAGATTAAGTCCTTTTTGACATTTAGCTTTGACTTTGATAATGTGGGGAAGGAAGTTAAGTTTGTTGTCAATTATGATTCCTAAAAATTGGTGTTCTGATTCGTATTTTATTTTTTCCCCTTGGAAAATTATTTTTGGATATTCTAGTTTTCTTTTTTGGAAAAAATAAGCTAGATGTTTTTGAATTCCAAGTCTAATATGACCCTTTCTTTGTTTTCTTTGTGGGCTATGAACGCGTTGTTATGGTTCGAAGCTAGGGATTTATTTTTAATGAATGAATGATTTTAAATGATTGGCTAATACTTCTGCTATTTCCTCTTCTGTTTCATGTATTTTATTTTAATCCTGTATGTGGCTTGTGTGACATTCTGTGTATTTATTTTTAATCTTATTAACCATTTTCTATATATCCTTTATTGGAGTGTTTTTTTTCATGCTATTAACATATTTTGTCCAACATAACTTTTTCTCATTTCTTATGGTTCTTCTGGCCAAAGCTTTTGCTTTTTTATACTCTATTAGATTATTTGAAGTCGGGTTTTTTTTTATTTTTTTAAACTGATAATTTATATTTAATTGCTTCTTTACATTGATCATTGAACCAAGGATTTATGATTTTGTTATTTCAATTATTCATTATTGGTGTTGTTTGTTTAATTTCCATCATTATTGTCTCAATCCAATTTTCAATCAAATTTTCATCAATGTCCTCCCATAACAAGAATTGATCAGCACATATTTTTTTAAATTGCTTCCAATTGGTTTTCTTTAAATTTAGGTTTTTTTCCTTGAATGTTTTGTGTTTTCTTTAATTGAATTACGATTGGGAAGTGGTCGCTACCGTGCAGGCCATTGATGACAGACCAACTAACTTCATCGTATAAAGATGGAGAAACCATGGCAAGGTCAATGGTAGAAAAGGTATTTGTTTGTCCAAGGAAGTAAGTTGGTCCTGTAGGATTTATTAAACAAATGCCTCCTCTTGTTATTACTTCTTTATATTTACCTTGAGGGTTTGTACGCTTACTACCCTACCAAGTGCTGTGGCCATTGAAGTCTCCAATAATTATCAGCGGTTTAAATAGTTTATTGATTACTTTTAAAATAATTTCTGACTTCATCGGTAAATTTGGAGGTGCATATATATTACATATAGTTATCGTTTTGTTTGTTGTAATTTTTGTTACTATTATATTTAATTTTTGATCTATTTTGATTTCTGATTGTGTTATTGTAGTTTTAATGTACGTTGTTTTTTTGTAAATTGGTTTGTGATGGATGGGCTGCTTTTGAGTATGTTGTATAGTGTTTTATGTCTATATGTTTGTTTGAATTTAATTTAGTCTCTTGTAAACATATAATTTGTGGTTGTTGTTCGTTTATTAGTAGTTGTAGTTCGGGAAGATTGCTTTGCAATCCTCTGATATTCCATTGACTTATTTTTATTTCATCTTCTGTTCTGTTGTTTTTATTTGTATCTGATTTTTTTTTATCCATGTTTGCTTTGGGAAGTTTTGAGTGTTAGGTTATAGCATGCTTCCTCTGTTTCGTCAATTACTTCAAGTGTCCTTGTCACAGCTACTATTATGGTTATTTGTGTTAAAATTATTATCTATGTTGTTATCATTATAACTTTTTTATTGTTGTAATCATGTTGTAATGTCCTTGTTATGACATTAAACTGACCCTCACTGCCTTGTGAGTGATGTTGGATCATCAAAGGCTAGGCCCACCGCTTATAACTGTGGTTGCGTAAGGAAGGGCGTCCTGCGTAAAAATTAGCCAAATAAATTACTTATGATGGAATGGCGTTGAGGGGTATTTCGGTTTCATCATAGGTAGCCAAACGGCAACCCCCGATCTCGGGAAAAATGTCGTCTAAACGTGTGTTGTTGTTGTATTGTTGTAATCACGACTATATTCATTCTTATTATTCTTTATACCATCATCATCGCGACTTCCAACATTATCTATTCCTTTACTTTTATTGTTAAGTTTATTATGGCTACCATTATTATTATTTGTATACTTATAATCGTTATTGACATTTCCATTTTTACTATCGTTAATATTTTTACTATCCTCTTTTATCTCCTCTTCTGAGCAGTTTCTTAGATGACTTGTTCTTATCACCTTTATGTAATTTAGAGATCTATGGGGCGAGCATCTTACTTTTTCTGTATATATTTTTGTCAACATTTCTATCTTTTCCCCTTGTTTTGCATTTTTGACCTGTTTAATTATTTTATTTTTCCTTATTTTTATGTTGTCTACTTCTCCCACATGAGCATAAATTTTCCTTTGAATTCGGAAACATGTTAACTTACTTATGTCATAGTCTTTTTTAGCTTCAATTATGTAGAAGGTCGGATGCGAAGGGATTTGTTTTTCCATGATTAGCTCGAGTGAACCCATTCTCGCTCTTTTCATTTTCATGTTTTGGCTTTGAGGTGAGATTTCCCTGTAAGCCAGGGTCACCAGAGCCGGTGCTTTAAAACACCCTAAACCTGCGAAACTTTTGTCAAAAATTGTTTCAGTAAGAGATTAAAGAAAAATATTTTTATTAAGAGAAGACCAGCATCTTTTAGAAATAGACATAGATGAATTTAAAGGAAGAAAATCTAATGAAAATACAGACTCAATAAGGAGGTCATCAGAATAAGGAACAGAGTTAGCATAGATATTAATAGGCTTAGAAAAAGATGAAGCTATAATAAAATCAATTGTGTTACCAGAAGTATGGGTAGAAAAAGAGCAATATTGTGTTAAGTTAAAAAGAGACAAAATATCATTAAATTTACGAGTGTAAAAACATGATAAGTTATTGAAGTGCAAGTTGAAGTCACCAGAGATGTAGAAAGAAATAGAAAAAGAGTAGAGAGATTCAGCGAGTGAGTAGAATTCATCCAAAAATAAAGTGAGAGAAGGAGGGCGATAGATTACAGCAATATAAAAAGATAGAGAAGAAGACTTAAGAGATACAACAAGACATTCAAAAGAGGGAAAATTAAAGGAAGTATTAATGGAAGCAGTAAATAGAGATTTATAAAATAGACAGATACCCCCATAAGAAGAATGAGAAGATGGTAGAAGATTTTTTGGAGGTCTAGAGAGTTCAAAAAAGCTCTAACCATCAGGAGTAGCAAGAATAAGAGAGGGAAAGTTAGAGTCCTCGTGCCAAGTTTCAATAAGACTAAAAAAATCAGGTAAGGAGGAAGAGATTATTTGATGGATATAGAGCGATTTTTTATCAATTGATCTTATGTTAATATTAAATGGTGAAAATGTAGAGGTAGGTTGTATATTGGTACTTTTAAATCTAGTTATATTATTTAAATTAATAGAATTATTATTCTTATCGTTAGTATTAATTACATTAGAGTGGGATTTAATAAAGTTATTATACATGCTATTAGTATTATTAATATAATAAAACTGCCCAACAGTGTTTTTGTATCTGAACCAAAATTAGTTGTTTCTTATGTATTTCCACCTGCTGAATCAGAAAATGACATTAAAAATTACATATTAGCT